GGAAATGGTCGTGTGAGCGCTGCTGTGAGACAGCACTTGCAGCAGAGCAGGCTGATGAGCTTCTGCTACAGCAGGGACGTACCTGGGGCCTGAGCAGAGCTTGTGTGCTCAGGCCATATGGGAGAGCTTTTAAGAGCATTATTATTTGTTTGCTACAGCTGTGTGACTTCCTCTTCCCCTTTGGACATGCTTTTTCTGACATGTTGCCACTGCCTTCATCTATCCTGATACAGAAAGCAAAGAACACAGCAGAATTTTCTGCTGTCGAGTTGGCCGTTTCATGGGAGAAAATTTCCCTTGGGTGATGTCAGAGAAAAATCTGTATCTACTGAGGTTCTTTGTATAGGAGCAAATATCAGCATAAACAGGCTTCCTCACAAATACTCAGACAAGGTGACCCGCTACAGTGAGGGAAATAGAAAAACATTTCAGGGAACTGAGCGCTGCACTTTTTAGTTATTTATTTTTCTTCCAAGGACGTTAACAAATTCACTGAAGGGCATTACATTTCATCTGACATCCAGGAAGGCTTCTTAGGGTGAGGCATCTTCGTGCATGTCAACTTTTCAGGCCATTACTCTCATTTTCAACAGTTTTTCTGAGCACCAGCCCGCCCTTTGCCTGTGTTGCAAGAGGAGCCCATTCCTCAGCTCTTTGTTAAGTTTTGGCCTGAAGTGAGGAAGTAGCCAGGGGGAATTAAGCAGTGCTCTTCATTAGTTTATTTTATTAGCTCGCAAAACGCAACCCTCCTTGCCAGTGTGGAATTCTTCTTCTTTTTCCATGCTTCTGTTGAGCGCTTTACGAAGTGCAAGCAGGTACGACACACGCTTCATTTCTTCTGGAGAAACAGGGCACCATAAAACCAAGTCCCCCAGTAAGGAGCTGTGGCACTTGGCACATCTCTGGGTAATTTAATGTGGTACTGCAAAGCCTTTGGAAGCAGAGCATCCTTCCACTCTGCTGAGTTAACTGTGTAGCCCAGACAGGAGGCAGTAGTTGGAAAGTGGAGAAAAAAAAGACAACTTCCAAAGCTTTAGCATCAGAAATGTGCAGAATGGGTGCCTTGAGCCCTGGTGCCTCATTCCCCTGTCCTCGGTGTTTTCTGTGTTTGGCTGCAGGACTCATATACCCATACCAGAAGCCACCAGTGAAGAGTTTTTCAGCGTTCAGTTTTGCATTTAAAGGAGTGTAAAGTTCAGTGTCGTGGAATTTCCCTGCTTGGTTGTTACCAGATAGCTCGTTAGAGCTCAAGATTGGGTCTGGGGCATTGCAAAGCATAGGCAGGAGCCTTCATCCCCCAGGGGACTGTGTCAGAGCTGTCCTGGCCTCCTCCGCTCTAAACTGCAACTTCTCTTTGTGTCTGTCATTTTATTTTAATTCACAATATTCGCTGGAACGTGATTTTACACACTTTAGCTTCGTAAACCCTAGATTGCTTTGGAAGATGAGGAAAAACTCAGGGCGTCCAGTTCAGAGGCGTGTTTCTGTTGAGCTGATCGCTGGCCTAACATCCCCCCCCAGCAGAGGTGGGAGATGGCAGGCAGCTGGCAGCACGTCCAGCCCCGGGGGGGGCAGCGGGAGAAGCACAGGCTGCCGCAAACAAAGGCCGAGTGTTTTGCTGATGTGATTGCAAAACATATGTTTGCCCGGGACTGTTATGATCTTGGGAATAGGCGCGAGGCCAAATTTCTGAAGCAGCAGCACAAATATCTGCGAAATGTTCGCCTCCTGCCACGGCTGGGCTGAGCGGGTGGCGGGGGAAGGTGGTGAAATGAGCCGGGGACAGAGATGGTGGCGGTGGTGGTCTCAGAAAGAGGGCTCGGGCTGCCCAGGGAGCCGGTGGGGTCAATCCTTGGGGGTGCCTGAGGGGAGGCTGGACGGGGTGCTTGGGGACGCGGGAGACCCTGGTGGCAGGGGGACGTCTGGGGGATGATTTTGGAGCCATGACCACAAAAGCCAAGCGGGGGCGCTGCCCGGGGGCTCCAACCTCCCCTCAGCCGGCTCGGGGCCCGCCTCACGGCCGGGGCCCGCCTCACGGGGCGGGCGCTGAGGTGAGGCAGGGCCCGGCCCCGCGCTGCCGCCAGAGGCTGGGCCGGGCGGGCGGCGGCGGCAGCAGGTACCCGGCGGGGGCTGAGGGGCCGGGGGGGAGCGGGGCCGCCCGGCTGGCCTCGGGCAGGGGATGCAGCGCTGCTTCGGAGCTGGGATGCCTGATATCTGTCTGACTCGAGCCCTGCAGCCTGGGGGGTTGATGAAACGCGGTCTTTGAAAGGATGTTGAGGCATCGGGAGAGCGTTCCCGTATTGATTCTTAAAGGGTTTTGATTAATATAGGAGGAAAACGCGCTCGGTGAAGCAGCAGTTTGGTTGCTGTGCTCTGGCAGCGCTTTGGAGCTTGCCCGCAGGTCTCCGTGCGGGTGCGGGCATGGCCAGGGCTCGGGCTGAGGGACACCTCCGGGGGACACAGGGAGTGGAAGCGGCATTTGGGGTACGTGGGCATCTGGGGACTGCTATTATGGGACCTTAATAACAGTCGGGGTCGGCTTGAGAGAGACACAGCGATTGCAGAGGCTGCTGGATTACATCAGTGAGCAGAAGAGGAAAAACTGCCTGGTTTGGTTAGCCCTGCGTTTAGAAACTGTGGTGCTCATGAGCTGTGGTGTTTTGTTTTTATTTTTTGAGATAAAATAATTTATTTTTAATCCCTACTCTTTGTTTCTTAATCCATCTGCTTGCAAAAGCTACCCATCCGATAAGGTAGCCGCACGAGCAGGACCAAAAATACATCTTTTAGGCTGAGTACGCACCAGCTTGGTGCTAAGAGCACAGGGAGAGCAAAATAACTTGTCCTGTGAGCCCAGTGTGGCAGCCCTTGTCATTAAGATCTAAACGAGGAGTCTCAGACGTTGTGGGCTGTCAGTGTCACCAGCAGAGATCTGGCTGTCGGTGACCTTTAAAGGGGAAGCAGGAACCAGACAGAGCGAGGGCAGCAGCAGCCTCCCAGACGGGTAAGTGCCAAAGCCTCCCTTGGAGAGGCAGTGCCAGCATCTCGGACACGGAGATTCTTTGGGTCTTGTTAGCCTAGAAGAGTGTAAAGCTCTAACTGAATGTATTTAACGTCGGCTGCAGATGCTACAGCATCCTAAGCTGAATTTCCAGCACTGGCACAGTGGAGAAGTGGGGGATTAAGTCTACCGGGGAATTGTGCTGAAGAGGTTTGAACCCACAAGTTGTTTATTGTGCTGTACTTAACCCTGAGCTTGGAAAGGAATGTGCTTAGATTACATAAAATGACCACTGGCCGTCTGGGGAAAAGTTACCCACAAAAAGCATCGCCTCAGACTCATTTCCCTCTGTATACCTGTGCTGATTCATTTATATTGCATTACGGAATGGGACTTCCATAAAATTTTGTTTGAGTCGAGCAGTGCTTAGTGGTTAGTCAGGATACAGATGATTTGGGTGAAGATGTTAATCCAAGCGTGGTTTAGTGAGGTAAATTGATAATTCTCTTTTCACTTCGCATGTGGCTTGTCTGTGACAAAATGTTCTGTTCTGGCTGTTTCGAGGGGCTGAAGTGGGTATATAAATCAGCATCTCCGGGAGATACAGCATTTGATATTGGTGCTGATTGTACTTGAGGGGAGCAAAATGACTCATTGTGTTTTAACCCAGGCAAGCAGTCTGAAGATTGTGGTTCACGGTTAGTGCTCAGCTGGTGAATCCTGAATTACCGAAAATCAGAAGTTTGGTGGCAATCACCGTACTCGTCTGACCGAACTATGGTTGAGTTTTGGGAGAAGTTTGGTGATAAGAGGCAGAGCTTTAGCTGCCAGGAGCCGGTAGCAGGGATCTGAAAAAGCATTTAGGCTCAACTACGGAGCAGTAGCTGTAGCTGGGGTTACGTGGCTGTTCCTGGTCTCAAAGCCCTGCATCCCTGCACGTAGCTCAACTCTGCTTCAGTATTCCTAGGTGGAATTTCTGACATTGGGTGTCTGTTTAGCAGTGACATTTCTTTGTTTTGAAAAGGTTTAAAACCAAAGTAGATGATGATCTGTTACAAACAGCACTGAGAACATCGTCCCCCAGGTATTAAAATGCATCTCCTAAGCATTTGCAATTCAATTTTGCATCTCAAGCTTTTACTTCCATTTGATAGGAATGCTGTTCTTGACAAGATACTTTAAAAATTTACCTAAAAACAGGCTTGACTGACAGTATTAAGCTACAGAAAAGCTGTAAGTAGAGTGAGTTTCTACATGCTGATGGATTTGTAAGTGGCCTTTGCTCAGCATATCTGTGCATGCTGTACAGATTTTGGGCTCAGTTGGCATCATGGAGTTAGATAAATGGACTGAGAGATGGGTGAGAGAGAGTGGTAACTGGGAAGCTTAATTAAGTTTGCAGACTTGTCTCATTAAGTCCTCTGCCTGCGTTCTGAGGAGCTGTTTCTTGGTGTAGATTTGCATAAAACACACATTTCCTGGTCGAGAGGTCTCTGAACAGACACGGTCTGATGGTTAGGGCATTAGCCTGTGACTTGCGACCTCATCTTAAGCCATTGGTCTTCCTGTAGCAGCCTCGGGTAGACACCCAGCTTCTGCGTTTCTCCTTTTTTGTCTAAGGGGGAGATATTACACTTGGTTGACTCTGCAGGACGCAGGAGAGAGGTGCCCTTCCTGTGATTTCTGAGGGAGCCTCCTCCAGCCCAGCAACACAGCATTTGTACAGCTGCAGCCGCCCGCGGTGGATTATCGCTACGAGGTCTTACTTGCACATCAGGCCTCAGTTGTGGTCGGCTTTCTGCTGAGCTCGGAGCTGGATTCAGCTGCGGAGTTCCTGGTTGGAATGGAAGCGGCGCGGCGAGGTTAACAAAGGAGGAAAGAAGCCAGGAGAAGCTTGCTGGGGAAACCGCAGCGCTGAGGTCACCGGTGCGCAACCTGATGGGCTGGAATCACATGAAAGCCGCTTAGGCTTTTGTCAGAAGCAAAATAAATGTTGGTTGTTTGCATCTGCTGCTCGGCCTGGCCCCTGGCTCCTTCGCTGAGTGCTTGTTGGTGTCCTGCGAGGGGTGTCCTTGCCAGGAGGCAGAGGGGCAGGGGTGCTGCAGGTGGCCCAGGAGGTGGCTCGTCCTCCAAAGGAAAGGCTGGAGGGAGGTGTGTCTAGGATGAGTGTGTTTGGAAGGCATTGTGGAGCTTGGAAATACAGCAAAAAAACAAAGGAAGGTCCTCCAGGAGTGTTCTGGGCGTTATTTCTGGGCTGTCTGTGTCATGTCAAAGCATTGGGGTGCTGTTGGGCATCCCCAAGCTCTCCCAGCCATCATTTGAACCCCTGCCATCATTTCAGGGCCTGAGGAAAACAAGGCGACTTCTTCAGCCCCCCAGGAAGCCCAATGTCACTTTGCAGAGAGGGCTCGCTTTTTATTTTAGCGTTGCCTTCCTAACGCTGCCAGTTCTGTGCAGCGTAAACACAGCAGTTTGGCCCCGGCATGCTTTAAAAAATGTAACACGTATCGACGTGGATGTGTTTCAGATTGCCGGGCAAAATACATCAGCGGTCGCCTCGCCTTGTTTCTGAAAATTTGTTTTTTCTTCTTCCTTGTAACTCCCCTGGGACAGGGCCGACTGAAACGCAGTTGTTCAGGAATTAAACTTCAAGGTGTTGCTCTTGGAGTGGCTGAGCTGGCAGACAACTGCAGGCATCTGCGAAATTACCCGACGTGTACCGCCGTTCCCTCCGCTGTCATTTGCATGTAAGGTGTTTCTCTAATTTGCTAGCGTGGCTGCAGCTGGGATAAGAAGCTGCAATATTACTGAGGAAGAGTGATAGGAAGCTTGGGGAGAGAGGGCTTTTAAGAAATGAATTCAAGTGGCATTGCTGCAGCACCTCAGCTGACAAGCAGGGTGTGTTTGTGAATGTCTGGAGGAGGAAGAAGCCCCATCACAACCCTTAGTGTCCTGTGGGATACCTGAAAGGGCTGCTGAGAGATGCTTTTTGGCCTCCATTTACCCCTGTAAGAGAAATGAGGGCTGCTGATTTAGGTCTGAGAGGTGCTGGAGGCTGGTGGAGTCTGGTGAGCTTTGGTAGGTCTGAGGTGGATCCGTGCTGGTTGTTTCCAGCCTTCAGAAGCTGGCTTTTAGTCTTAGTGGAAAGTTAGGGAACGGTAACTGATTAATAAAATTGCTTCTCGTGCGATGAACTCATGCAAATAGAAACCTCAGCTAAGGACAAAAGGTGCACTAGAAAGTGAGAGCAGTATTGCTTGGCTGTAACAGCCTTCACCTATGTAGGGAAAACGCAGCAAAACTTAAATCTGGCTTTGGCAGGCAGCTTTTAGGGGCTCTGCTCTTGAATCCTAAAAGAGCTGTAGACACCCCTCTACTCTGCCTGCGGTGCCTCAGCACCAGCAGGGTGCTCCCCCTTGCCTCCGTGTGAGCCTGAGCAGCTACTTACCCGTCTTGAAAAGAAAGCCTTGAAAAGAAAGCTGGCACAGATGTAGATCAGGTACTTTCAGCAGTTTAAGACCTCTTTGAGGTCGGGGGAAAAAAGAAATCTGATTAGGGTTACAGCTGTTTCATTTCCTGACAGATGCACGGAGTGTTATGTGCTTGCTGAGTGCGGATGTGCACACATCCATCAGTCTCGTTTTGTATCAGTGGCATAACCGCACAGCAGCCGGCTCTGTACTGAACAACTTGTCCCGGACGCCCTGCCAGAATATCTTGCCTCCTGCACAGTTTTTCTGTGAACCAGGTTGTGCTGTGCGCACACGTATAGCTATATTTGTGTCTTTTTTTTCTGTGGTCGACAGGGCCTTTGTTGTTGCAGGTTTTGTAGCTGGAGTGGGGCTGCGCTCTGTAAACAAGTGTGACTGGTCCTCAAGTACTTGCGGAAAAATAATTTGCATTCGTACAAGTGGTACTGGCGAAAGTACCGGGGGCAGAGCACCCCGAGTACCCAAATAAGCTCAGCCCTGAATGGCAAATTCTTTTCTTTCTTGCAGCCGCAGCTAAGAGGCTGTTTATAACCGAGCGCTGAGATGGTGTGTTTTTCTTTTCTAGGAACTTGGAATACGAATTCCTAGACCACTGGGACACGGACCAAGCAGATTCATCCCAGAGAAGGAGGTGTGGTGGTGTTTTCAAGTACACAGTGAACTTTATGCTTTTAAGGAACAGCTCTTTTAGTAGTCACCCACAGTTGGTTTCAGGACAGCTGCTGAACTGCAAAACATTTTCAGTTGCGATCACATTCAGTCCTGGCGAGCCTTTGGCCACGGTTCTGATGTACAAAGCAACGAGAGCCCGGGGGAGCTCTGGAATAGTTGTGACACCTCCTGCACTGCTCTCTAGCAGCAGAGAAACCCAACACTGCTCTGTGTCAGAGCGTGTGTTTCCTTGTGAGCATCCGGATGTAGTTTCCTACTGGTCCCCGAGGTACCTGCCCCTCTGCTCCAGGGTTAGTTTTTCTTGAGCTGCCATCCTGAAGATCTGACAAACTGCCGAGTGCCTGAGCAGTGCTGGGGCTCCTCTCCTGAGCGACTGGTAGGAGAACTTGGAGCAGAGGACAAGTCAGTAATATGCCTGTGGTTTTCTAGGAATTTCTGAGCCTTAAGCTTCAGTTTCCTTTTATAATTCTCACTTGTCATCTTAGCTAGCTTTTTATTTTTTTGCTTTTTCTTTCAGTAAAAAATATTTTCTCAGTTAGCTTGCTCTTTCTATAATAACTTCAGATGAATTTGGGGCACTCAAGAAAGTGAAGGTGAGAGTTGAGGAGAAGTCAGTGTTGCATGAGAGAAAGTATAAAGGCAAAAATCTCTTTTTGCTGCTGATAAAATCATTTGGGATCCAAATGAGAGGTGCTGAGAGGATCTCCTGCTTGCATTATGTGCACTGATTTAATGCCATTAGGAGAGATATCTTACAATTCCTTTCACTGGGGGCCTGGGTGCTGCGGTAATACATTTTTTTTCTATTTTATCCGTACTGCTCAGACAATATTACTGATCTCTCTTTCTGTTAATGCAGACCATTCAAGTGGGAAACGAAGACGCCATGATGCACACGCTGTTCACAGAGTCTTTCGCCACGCTGGGCCGACTGGACAACGTTACCTTGGTGATGGTTTTCCACCCGCAGTACCTCGAAAGCTTTCTGAAAACTCAGCACTATCTGCTGCAGATGGATGGTCCGCTCCCTCTTCATTACCGGCACTACATCGGGATAATGGTATGCTGGAACGTAAAGCAGCGAGCAGAAACAGCCGCTTTGGCAACTGCCTCTGATCTTTTTTAATAGCAGTGTTTTGCAGTTTCTAGTTGGCAGGGCATTTCGTCAGAAGCTAAGGGGAAAAACAGAGTAGGTTTGTTTGTGTCTGTTTTACAAATTGTTTCATAAGATCAGTACTTTATGTTCATAGTTTTGGTAGGAATGCAAGGAAGAGAAAAAAAATCTGTTATAAAAATAAGAGTTGTTTATTCCTGGTTTCCTTAGTATCTCAGAAACTGGTTTTCAAGACAGCTTTTTGTATGCATGCTCTGTCAAATGCACCTCTCTCTAACTCAGTAGTCCCATTATCTGCTTCTGAATCTCTAAATTCTGAGCAAGTTTTCTGCCAGAAGTGGCTGATTTTATAATTTCCTATCTGCTGGTGCAATGGTCAGCAATGGCCTGCTGAAGTTACACTGAAGATTTGCATCCCATCTTATTTTGATGGGAAAAGAATTAATTCTTGAATAAATGACACTGGATCTCTTCTTTGCTGAAAAGCTGCCCTTAGTTCTTGTTCTATGCATGCTGAAACCTGCTTTTCTTTTAGCTGGTAAAGATTTGCCTAGAAGCAGTCTTGATTCCTCTACACTGGAGAGTACTGTGCAGGATGCTACAGGTCATAAAATAAACCTATGCCTGGATGTAGGCATGTTGTTCCTGTAGCCAGCATCATTAGAACGTAGACAGATGAGGAATATTTGTGTTAGGAGAACAATAATCAAAACAGGCTTTTTTTTTAATTCAGCCTTTGAACACTGCAAGTCTTACTCTTGAATATTTTGAGGAAATGATGACTTGTGGCATTTGTTGTAACGCACTAACTTACTGTCACTGTTTTCTGTACCACAACCGTGTTTTCCTTTTTAGGCTGCAGCAAGACATCAGTGCTCTTACCTTGTTAACCTCCATGTGAATGACTTCCTTCACGTCGGTGGAGACCCTAAATGGTTGAATGGGCTGGAAAATGCACCTCAAAAACTGCAAAATTTGGGAGAACTGAACAAAATGTTGGCTCACCGACCCTGGCTTATCACCAAGGAGCATATCGAGGTAAGTCTTTCACGGAGTAATGTGAACGTACCCTTGTTTTTCAGTAAATGCAGTCTCAGGGTTAAGAGCCAGACAGGGTGAGAAATGTTCTGTGTTTCAGATCACTTTCATTTTGGTGTTCAGTCACTGCGATACCGTGTGCATGATGTATCGCTTGTGCTAACCCCATAAAGCTGGCATAATCATTACTGGTCTCAAACCACAAACGGATTTAATTTATGATAGGCCGCTATTTCAGAATTGGCATGTCAGAATTCTGTTGGTGCGGCGCTGCTGTGGTCAGATGTGCGCTTCCTGAAGTTGGATGCTGGCAGTAACCAGAAATCCCCGAGCACTTCTGAGGCGGCGCCAGGCTGAAGGCAGATCACCATGGTTTTTTTTTGGCCCAGTATTCACTGGTTCAAACGCTCGGTTTTCAGAACTCTAATCTCCCTGCAGGCATTTCCGAGTCCCCTGGTGTTTACATCGAAGATAATTTTATTTGGGGGGAAAAAAAGTCAGAACTAACACTTCGGGTGTGCAGCAACAGCAGCTCGCACAGTACGGGCACCCTAAATGTGGCTACTGGGGTAATTTTCCCTCCCCTGCCCTTTTCTTCACCCATAGCACGGAGGAAGTGGGTGCTGCCTCCGCGCTGCCTGCCAGGTGGAGAGCGGAGGCAGGACCCTGGGCTGTGGGGGAGGACACACGCTTTGCCAGGAGGCCCAAACCTCCCACACTTTCCTGCCTGAAGGGGAAGTTGGGGTTTGAAGCTTCTTGTCAAACGCGGAGCATTCCACCCACGGGGACCGGGCGCAGGGAGCCCAGCCTTGATGCCAGGTTGTTGCACAGCTGATCTGCCAGGAGGTGCCAGGGTTTTCCAAGTCCGTAAAGACTGGTTGAAGAAAGAGGCAACTGTTGAGGTTGCGTCTTCACCAGAGGCGTGAAATTTCGACACGAGTCAGTCTGGTTTCAGTGCAAACCATACGGTGCAAAGCAGAAACCCCAACTGCCTCGATAGCTGCTGGGGGGCTGGAGAGGGGAGAGAAGTCAGCAGGTGACCTGCTAACGGGACAGCGAGCACGCAGGGAGTTAGGAAGCAATTGTGGATTTTGGAAAACTGATTTTACCTGTCAAATGAAAGTGCTGATAAATTGCACAAATCGTTCGAACTCCTTTTTAAACGTAAGGCTTTTGTCTTGCATTGTTTTTAAAGCAACTTCTGAAGACTGAAGAGAACAGCTGGTCCCTGGCGGAGCTGATCCACGCGGTGGTTCTCCTCACACACTACCACTCCCTGGCTTCCTTCACCTTTGGCTGTGGAATCAGCCCGGAGATCGATTGCGAAGGGGGTCACACCTTCAGGCCACCTTCCGTCAGCAACTACTGCATCTGCGACATGACAAATGGGTATCACGGGGTGGATGACATTCACGCCAGCCCAACTGTGAGTGTCTCAGGAAGTGTCTGAACACTCTCCTTCAACAGAAGTAGTTTCTTTGTAAACTGAACACACTGAGGATACCTGTGCGAGCAGCTCTTTTTGTTCAGTGGGATTGCTGAGCCTAACCTAGCTGAGGACTAACCTGGTGAAGAGGTGTATTTAGGAGAAGCTGAAGTGGCACCGGGGAAAGCTAGCAAAGGAAGAGCCGAAGATACAATCTCTCTTGTCTATTTTTTTGATCTCTTATCTGTTTGCCTATCTGAGGGACTGCTGCTGACCTCAGCTAGATGGTGATACGTGACCTGAGTAGCAGTGGCCAGGAAAGCTTTTTATTCCATGTGTGCAGTGGAAACTTGGCTCTTCCTTTGATGCTAGTCTTTGATGCCCTGAGGTGTTGGTGGTGCATCACACGACAGATCGCTCACACTTTTCTGACCCTGTGTCTAAAACAGTACTTCCTGCCTGCAGCACTTGTGCTCGCTGAGCTGCACTTGCTTCCAGTCGGTGAGAAACATGATGTGAACCGAGCGCTGCTTTAAGAGCAGTGACAACAGGATATTTTCAATGTAGGTTCCTCGCAGGTTCCTCTACTGTAATAGCGTGGGTGGCATTCAGATCTTGTCAGATCAGCTTGCCGGTTTTCTCAAGGAGCGAGTCGACTGCAAAAGGCAGAGAGAAAAAAAAGGAGAATAATTTAAACTGAAGATAACTTAATTTTGCTCTGTAATGATGGATTTTTACAGGACCAGATACTGAATTAAGAGCATATTGTGGTGGTGTTGAAACAGCTTTTGTGAAGTAAGATTATCTTGCGCTAGCTGTCCTTTGAGGCTTCATTAAATCTGCATTACATTCACTCTTCCTTTCCCTTTCGATATGTTTTCTTCAATATGTGAGCAGAGAAAGGGAAAAATACAGTTGGGTTGTAAATTGTGGTTACTTCCTCTATCAGAATTTCTGTTACAGCCCCTATTTTTTCAGTTGTTGAACATTTAGATTAGATAAAAGAAATTATTTCAGTCTTAGTGTGACAACCACTGGTTCCAAAAAGCTGTGAGTCTTAAAATATACTACAAATACCAGAGATCTTATTGAGAAAAGATGATGACTAAATGTGAACTGTTAGATCAGTGCAAATTTCTTTCAAGAGCCGTTTTCCTGGAAAAATCAGTATTTAATGATGTAAATGAAGGACACAGCCTGCATTTAAATTTTCTGGCTTGACGATTTCTCCTGTAGTTGTCAGTTCTTGTTACACAGGGAAATGAACTATTTGTGTCTCCTTTTCAAGACTACAGAGTCCGTCTGTGAAGTTGAGGCTCTCATGGAGAAAATGAAGCAGCTGCAGGAGTGCAGAGATGAAGAGGAAGCCAGCCAAGAAGAGATGGCCACCCGTTTTGAAAGAGAGAAGAGGGAAAGCATGTTTGTGTGTTCTTCAGGTAGCACTTAAAAGCACAGCAGTGGCAAGATTTGTGGCACCCCAAACATACATTAATACTTACTGACCAACATCATGTTTAGTAGAAGTTTATTTCCAACAGAATGTGAAACTTTTAAACCTCTTTTATGAGGTGCTGTAAAAATAAGTCCTTAGATGTAGCTTTTTAAGTCTACAAAACGTTACAGATGACTGTGAAATAACAATCTGTTTGAACCTGAGGGTTGTTGCAGGTTCTTTAGTGTTTTCCTGTAAAATAAAGCTGGCACGGAGGACTTAGAGGTCTTTTTTCAATAAGCTCTCTGTTCCAAACCAAGTTTCCCCTTTACAGTTTTAAAGACCTCCTGAGTTCAGAGCAAAGTACCCCCTAGGCCAGGGGGATAGGGTGAAGACTGGTACACAAAAGAAAGGAAAAAAGATGTTTGCAGATTAGAAAGATTCTCAGTGTTTTTCATGGAATTGCCTCTAAAAAAAGGATAGTTGAATTCACACTGAGGTGTACCAAAGGATTTATTACAGGTATTCCAGTGAAACTGTGTGTTTATTTAGAAAAGCACAGGCTCCCTTTCTCCTGTAACAGTTCCCCTAGTACATTTCCAGTTTGTTCTGACTGAAATTGCATGAAATTCTCTTTGCAATTAACAGAAGATGAAGAATCAGCACCCACAAGAGATGTGTCTCGTCACTTTGAGGATACCAGCTATGGCTACAAAGACTTCTCCAGGCACGGCATGCACGTGCCCACCTTCCGAGCTCAGGTAACAAGGACGGGGGCTGCTGTCAGGAAGCTTGGGGTGCGGTCTGTTTGGTGTCTGGCAAATACCAAACCCAGAAAATGCTGTGCTGTAACTTACTGCCCCATGGATGGCAAGACTTAGAGCAAAAACCAGCTGAACAAAACCCCCACACTGGATGATGTGCCCTGAGAGAGATGACATTAAAGCACGAGGCCTTCACAAGTTCATTTCTGAAATGCTCCATTCTGCGTTTTTACTTCTTCTAAGGATTATTCCTGGGAAGACCACGGCTATTCCTTGGTTAACCGTCTTTACCCAGATGTGGGACAGCTCCTCGATGAGAAGTTTCACATTGCCTATAATCTGACTTACAACACAATGGCCATGCACAAAGACGTGGATACCTCAATGCTAAGACGAGCGATCTGGAACTATATTCATTGTATGTTTGGAATAAGGTCAGTTTTGCTACGGTGTTTTATACATACCAGCTTTTATCTTATACATATTCTATACATAATTCTTATTCCTATACATAATTCTATATAAAATACTTTTTTCTTTTGTTTTTTTATTCCTCAGAGCAAAGCAGAGCTATTTATTAAGCAAACATGCATGTTTGTTTTTATTTTAAACATATTTATATGTCTGGGGAAGGGCCACTAGTGGTACAAATTACACAGCAATTTATTTTCTTGAAGGAACCTACAACCAAGGCAAGTGAAATATCTGGTTCTGGAAAATGAAAGTGTTTTTCTTTCAATTCTGAACAGATACGATGATTATGACTATGGTGAAATTAATCAGTTGTTGGACCGCAGCTTTAAAGTTTATATCAAGACTGTGGTTTGCACTCCCGAAAAGACCACAAAAAGAATGTACGATAGCTTCTGGAGGCAGTTTGAACACTCTGAGAAGGTACAGTGCGCGTGTGGTCTGAGGGACATGGGTGGGAGACCTGTTTGGCACGCTAACGCCACACCTACCCAGCTGGCACTCGAGCTTTGGCTGATGTGACTGGGATTCTGCTTGTGTTCAGTAAATTAATTCAGGGGGATAGCACTGCCCAGACTGAAAATTTTTTTTCTTAATCAGTGTTCATATCAAGGGCTCCATTTCTTGCTAAACTCCTCATGAAAATAGGTTAGAGATACCTAGTTATAACAGGGATACTATAACTGGGATGATTTAAGGGTGAAACAAAACCTTGTGTATAGTTTGTTTGTTTTTTGTTAGACTTACAAGCTTTCAAGCACATAAACCCTTCTTTAAAGCCCCAGCCCTTGCATCTCCTTAACCATCAAAATCCAAGGATCTTACATGTTCCTGAATGCAATCACCAGCCACTCTCACCGTCCTCATGGAAATAATATCAATGAAACCGAACACAGCCCCTACATGCCAAACCAAACTCTCAGCCAACCTGCTGCCAGTGAGAGAATGCTTTTCGCCCCCCTCCACCACATAGTTTCTGATCTCCTCCCCAAAGAAATACAGTAAATACATTGAGAAGATGAGCTGGGGCACTCAAATTCGTACCTCTGGCAGCTACTGAAAGCCTCTACCCCAACAGAGACGATAGTTTCACGGCATGTTACAATTTCTGACGTGCCTCACCTCAGCTAACCACTCCCGTGTTGTTCAGGTGATAATTACCTGTGTTTCTCTCTCTGTCCCACAGGGGCAAACGACCTTATCACCTCTTCCTTTGCTAACAACCCCCTCCGCTCCACAGGTACCAACCACCCTTTTGCCTTCAACTAATTAATTAACCGAATTGAGCTCAATTTCAGCAGTTGTTCCCAAGCTGCACATAGTCTGCTGCTGATGAAGGGCTTCTGTGCTTGAAAGCCTGTCTATTTTTTTCCCAGCTAAACCAGTTGGTCTGCTAAAGGTCACCTACCTCTTCTTATGACCCTGGCCCTGCTTAAACATACCCGTGCCCCATTGCTGTGCCGTGCTACGGTACCAGAGCGTTCCTTAAATCTTTCCTCCTTCAGCAAGCTTTCCTGATAGAGCTAACGAGCTGGGTAGCTGAAACCTGCAAGGCGCTCCCCCACTGCTAAGGCAAAAACTAATACGAAACCCACAGCCCCACAGACTTCCTTTTACCCGAGCACGTCACTGTGAGCACTTTGCTAATGCTCAACTTGTTTTGTTTCTGAAAGGTCCATGTAAATTTGCTTCTGGTAGAAGCTCGGATGCAAGCCGAACTACTTTATGCTCTGAGAGCTATTACTCGCTATATGACCTGATGCCTCCGGCTGCCTGGCGACGTTGGAATGTTGTGCAGCTGCAGTGTGGCAGAGGAAGATATGAAGCCTCAGGACCAACGGTAGCTATAAATTAAGACGCCCATTGTGCCATAACTCCTTTAGTTTCAGCTATTTCCGTGTTTGGAATATCGCTGCTGCCAGTAGGCAGTGAACGCTTGGCAGTTGAAAAGACAGGGTTGTGCAGAAGTGCTGCCTGATCATGGTATTTTGGCTTTAGACAGCACGGGACACTCTATGAACTTGTGGCAATATAGCAAATGATAGGCATATAGATCTTCTAAGGCAAATACGACAGGAGTTGGAGCGTGAAAAGAAGTGGGACTTGATGACATTTGCTTTCCCTACAAGAATAATCTTAGAAAACGTTGATGCTGCTATTTGTGCTGGTGGAGTGAACAGACCCAGGCTGTTCCAGTTAAGCTAAAAGTGAAAGTGAGCACTGCTATTGTCTGAGCCTTTATTGTGTGTGGTTTCAAAAAAAAGCCTCGTTACTTAGCTTTTTAATCAGAACTCAACCTCTTCTGTCCACACTGATGATTTGAAAGATAGCAGTCAATTTTCTCAAATAATTTAGCCTTAAGATGCTAGAGGACGTTTGTTCAGCATTATTTGGTGAGCTCCAAAGTGCAATGGTCTTCCTATGGAGAGGAGAGGACATCGGTCCTCCGAGCTTTTTAGAGATCTAACTACACGAAGTGTCGAGTAGCTTCTTGTCCTGTTTTTCAAGGGGGAACCGATACCTGTTCAGGAGCTAGGACAAGGTGTGGGAATGTTGTTCTAGACTGCCAAACAGTCCTACTGTATTACATGCCCAACGCTGGTCTTACTGATTTTTTTGCAGTTGCTTAAATAACTAGGCTAAATACGATCTATTTTTAGTAAATCAAAACATGATTAAAAATGCTGACATTTAATATACAGTGGTTTTGGAGAACACATGAATACTTTTGTATGAGTGTGAATCGCTTTTTAAATTTGTCAGTATTATTGGTATTTTTTAAATAAAGGTAACAACTTTTTCTCTTGGTGTTTGTGTGTGGTTTAACTTCACATTTCTCTTCCTGCTGGTTGACTCACTCGTTCACATACCCATTATATTGAAGACTTTTAAAATGCCTGAAACAGTAACTGAGCAAACGTACTTAAAATGACAAACCATGATGTTTTCAGTTGAGTCTAAAGTGGTAGGAGATAGATCAAGTTTTAAAAAATGTACTTAGCTCTTCACTAAAATTACAGCGGGAACACCTCTCTCATACCCTCCTGGTCTCCTCCCTCATTCCATCCCTCAGCCCTCTACCCACAATTCAGGTAAGCTCTGCCACACAGGGTTTTCTGTTTCCTCACAGGTAACGGGTGGGAGGTGACTGGAGATACCAAACACATTTTTATACAACCACTTCTTTTCAACAGCTAGCTCTAAATATCACTTGGAGATTAACATGGATTTTAAAACGGTCCAGCAGTGAACTTAGTTTCAGATTAGATTGCTAGTTTTCACAGACAACTGCCAAAAAGGCCTCTGGCATCAAAAGGGATATTCACTTCTGTGCAGTCAGGCTGAGGAATTTATGGCAAGAGGCACCAGGGAGTGGGAGGGGGATTTAGAACAGTTCAGTTGGAAGGGATCAACAGTGATCAAGTCCAACTGCCTGACCGCCTTTGGGCTAACCAAAAGTTACAGCATGCGATCTAGGGTGTTGTCCAAATGCCTCCTGAGCACTGACAGCCCCGGGGCACCAACCACCTCTCCAGGAAGCTGCTTCCAGTGTCTGACCACCCTCACAGTAAAGGAACTTCCCTGATGTCCAGCCTGAACCTCCCTGGCACAGCTTTGTGCCGTTGCTCTGCAACCATTTACTGCAAGCCCATGAGCCAGGTCATTGCCCAGCCTGGTGTGAACATGTTTAGCTCAGAGGTGGGCAGTTTGATACCATCCTTCTGGAGTAAGGCCTTACTGAAATCCAGAAGGATTATGGCTGATGCCTGAGTGACCAACTTTTTGGGACACGCTCCTATAGCTGGCCGTAATGGGGGTAGAAACTTTGACCTGCTTACCGGAACGTAGGAGCCTACTGTGTAAGGCAGGAAAGATATGGGTTTGCCCAACCCCACAAGTGGAGTTAAGCTAGCTCAGACTGGTTTCTGTCACCACAGCCCGCTCTGAGAACACTTACAATCCAAGAAGCTAAAATATCTAAAATGATCTAGGGGAGAAATTAATAAACTGTCGAAAATTGTGACTAACAGGAAGCATCTGCTATTTCCTCTTAACTAAAAATACAGGATTTCTGAGGTTCCAAAAACAGCAAAACTTTCCTGTCTGAAGGCATATCATAAAACTAACTTATGCCTAACAGTGTACAAAAAAAGTGTCTTCCCAACCTGCGAGTGGAGTTTCTGCAGCATCTGGTCGCCCTGCTGTCCTTTTATTGGTTCAGAGGTAGGCAGGAAACTTCCAGAAAGCCCAGACTGCATGGTACCAGCATCAAACCTCCAGACACATGCTGGGACATGCACACACTCGCTCCCCTTTGAAGCAGTAAAGAGCAGCGTGTGAAGGACTTCACACCATCACATTTTCAGACAGAACTAACCACAACCTGCGATTGTAACCACGCACAGAGCTACTCACCTTGGAGCACGGGGCTGAAAAATGCTTGGGGTTTTCCCTGTACCAACACTTTTGTGGTCCTAAGTAGTGCAGAGCAAGCAAGACTGTTAAGAGCAGTGACAATATCTTTAAAAACGTGAAAACAATCAGTGACAGTGGCAAATTGCTATCGCTGCACAGAGCAGCAGCAGTGTGGGATGCCAAGGTGTGAGGCAGGAACAAGCCACGACACCAGCATAGTCGCTGACGTGGTGTGAGCTGCCCTCGTCTGCTGCATGGCGCAGCAGCAGCACCTCACCCGAGTGTCATGGGTGTGAGTTGTGTTCATGTTCAAAACTCACCCCAAGAGGTGGAGGTGGGGGAAGCTGCCCAAAAGGCCTGGCAACGCATGGAAGGAGGCGGTGTGAGCGTGGCCTTGCTCCCAGTGGCAGCGTGAACACACCCAGTCTGCGCCAGCAACCTTTGAAAGAAAACCAACCAAACAAGCAACAAGAAAAAGCACAGCGTTTTCTTTTGAACATCTGGTTACGGGAGCATGACAGAACCACCTGCCCCATCAGCAGCAATTAACAATCCTCTCCAGCAGCCCCTGACTTTCCAGCTCATATTTTCAGCTCAAAACTTTGCATATCTGCATATGTTCAACCAAGACAAAAGAAAAAAAGACAGCGGCAGAGGCTGGGTACTTGATCTCTAAGTAGGAACGGCTCCTGAAGTCACAGGAGAGCTGCACTGAAGTTTGCCACAAAGACAACCAAATGGCGGAAGATGCCGTAAGAGTACATCAGAAATTCAGCATTTGGGGGTTTAGAATTGTTACCCACGAGTTTTGTTCAGGAAAAGACATGGACCTGCAAAGCTCCATGAGTGCTCTGAGGCCTCTGCTGTCCTCTCTGCTCCACCCAGCACTCCCGCACGTGCCTCTTCCTGAAGCCTTCACAGGACAAACTCTTGATAACAAGGACAGCGGTGCCCCAGCTTCTCTCTCCAGCACGGGATGCCCAGTTTTGCCGTGCTACAGAGCACACCACGCTGCTCCGGGCCATTGTTCACAGTTCAGCTGGTTGGATCCCTGAAATAACTCGCATTGTCTTTGAACAGATCCTAACTGCATGCATTCCTGCCATCTCAGGGACTCGAGCAACAAAGCCAGTTTCAGGCAGATATTCAGCATTTTTCAGTTCTGATTAGACCTTCTGACAGGACGTAGCCACGAGGTCTTTTCCACTGCCTCCCCACCCCGCACTGCACAGCGTGGTGGTTGCCTGCCTCTCGCCTTGATGCGGACGCCAAGAACAAATGCCTGCAGCGCTCTCCTCACAGGGGAGCACTTACCCATCGTGCTGCCTTTAATACCCTCAAGAACCAACATCCGCTTGTTTTGCCAAGAAGCAAATGGGGCATTGAAGCCATTTATCTTCCCCCCTCAAAGTGGGAAAAGAAGGGATAACGACTGAGAACATTTTGAGTTCAGCAGAGCTGTTGCTAGAGCCAAACCATGCTCAACAGCTGAGCAGTTCTCCTCTGCGGACTGTAGGGACAAAAGGAACATTGCAGATTTCATTACCTTCGCTGAAGCTTTCTCCTCACCAGTCCCAAAACCTGGACCATGAAACCTTCCCTTTGTTTCAACTTGCCTGCCAAGCAACTACAGAATTAATCGACAAATCACACCGAACAGCTGCTTGATGAACTCAAATGTATTGTAAAAAGCAATTACACATGCAAAAAATTCATACAAGCTTCTCAGAAGATAGTTTCCAGTATATAAATGCCAGGCTTTACTAACTTCCTAAAAATTAACTTCCTGTGCTCCCCACCATACTTACCAATGGCAATGACCAGGTACATGAGAAATCTATAGCTGTACAATCTACATCACAAAAAATACAACTGATTAAAATGCAGTAATGGTCACAGCTGGAACAAAGGAGTGATGGCTTTGAATTCTGTCAAGAAGTTTTTCTGCCACAGGTTTGAACTCTGTCTCCCAATAGCGTTTGTGGTAGTCCCTTAAATCCCTGTCGAGGCTGTAATCCTGTACCAGCTCCTCATCTGTAATCAAGGAAAATGCCACCATCAGTTCCGAGTTAATATTTACCCAACTACGTACTTTCTGACCACAGCACATACAAGTTCAAGACTTAAAAACAACTCCATGCTGACGACAAATGGAGCATCCCTGTCTAAGGGGCTTGGCTTTGACTGAAAATAAAGGATGTCAGAAAATGGTAAGAAGTGTATTGTAGCTTCTACTATTCTCACACCTCAAGCTATAGCTAAATTGTGTCTCTGAGGCCAAGCACTCATTGTGACTGTCAGCCTGAAAGCTACACGGGTTTTAATATTATCTACAAAAAAATTGCTAATAATAATAATAATAAATAAATCTGTTCATCTAACTACACCTATGGTTTTTGTGTCATGATTACTTTGCCAATCTGGTTTGTGAAGACTCTGTCAAGCTGTGTCCACTGCCATGCTTAAAGCACTTGGCCCATACTAGTTAATACACTACTGGTGCCCTCCCTTCCTCGCAAACTTCATAAATAAAACTACAGTCTTAACAGAGACAAGAAATGTTAGGAATGAAAGGACATCATCACTTGTTCTTTCCCCTCCAGTGTGCCTGCCACTGGATGTTGCAAAGAAGCAAACCCTCACGGGAATCAGTCCGCAACCAGGAGCATGCTCCTGAATCAGGGCTCTACAAACACGGCTGATAACACTGAACAAACGTTTTCCTGCAAGAGCATGGCACAGTTTAACACACAGAAAGCACATTTGACAGCACTTGGGCCCTAAACGGACCAGAAACGAAGGTGCAATCCCCCTCCTAATGGGCAGCGTGACTTATCTTCGCCCTGGGCTGCGAAAGAGCACCAGGTTCACAATCTGTTCAATAGCTCTTAAAGAGAGCTGCCTGCTGGGAGCTGAAGGGCAACTTCCATTACCCACGCTGAGTCAATGCTTAAACACCAGCTATTAATGTGTAAAAGAATGGCAAGGTGCCTGGGAGAGCAGAGAGCCCGAGCTGCAAGCTGCAACAGCCATAAAAGAAGAGGCTGAGGTATTCATCCGTGGAGATGGCTCCATTTCATAGGAGGTTACCAGTAGCAGCAAGTGATGTTTCATTTCCAAGCTGCTACAGGGCTTCCAAATTGCCAGAATGAAAGAGATGCTGATGGTGAAGTAGCTTCCAAAATCACAAAATGCTAGCCTAAAATGGGGGTACTGCATGGAGGGGAGATGCCTCTTAGGAGGCTTTATGTAAAAAAAAAATAAAAATAAATAAAGAAAACAAACATTCAAGAATGGAAATGCCACATCTCTGCAGGAGGAAACTTTGTCATCAGAGGTAAAACCCAGCTTTAGACATCAGATCTACATTCAGGTGAACCACGGGATAAT